CATGGAGGTGACATAGGATACTTCAGTAAAATGACTAAAAGGCATTTGTCAGAGGAAGTACTTTTGGATATACAAATCAGAGATGTCAATCTAATGATCAACCCATCTAAAATGACCAAGAAGGATATTTAATAACCATGAATATGAGAATATATAACAACTTTTTAAAATCCCTTTCAATTTAGTCAATCTCACAAGCCAGCTCAAAATTCAGGTTTACCAGTTAAGCAATAAATTCAGCATAGCATGTAGTTCAGCAGTACATAACTTACAAAATTCAGTATGTCTTATTAGTACTATAGTAGGGCATTAAAATAATTACTGTGAGATGAGTTGGTGTTTTCCAAATGAAAATTAATTGATAGAAGATATAACGTTCCTTATTCTGTTTCCAAAAGCTTGACTCCCTAAGGTCTATACTTAAGAGTCAGGCTAATACAGAAAACAGTTGCTTTAAAACTTACTTTTTTCTTAGTGGAGATTTCTTTCAAACGACAACAGTACAAAACCACTGCAGGTATGTAAATCAGCAAATCAGCAATTAAAACTGAAAAAACAAGTAAATAATCTTTACCATGAGTCCATCAGGATCTACAACAACCCATTAATTGCCTCCTTTCCTCTAACCTTGATTGAGAATTCTGTTAAGACAAGGTTCCTACCCCACGATGGGCATGTCCTATACACAATTAGTCCTTTTCATTCCCTTCACCTGTGCCTAATTTTAATTACTGTTTAATTACTGTGTTACAAAGGAGTCTCTTAATTTTCTCTAACAAATTCACACATTTAATTGATTAGAATCCAACATTCTCTCTTTGCTATGATTTGGGCTTAAAAATTAAGAATGTTCACTATTACCTTAACTGTTAGTTGAAGACGGCATAATATATAATTTAGTCTGTGTTATCAGTGATAGAAATGATACCTTTCTAAAGAAGGCATTTAATCATAATATGCTGCTTCTTGAGGGCTTGCACTTCTAGAATTGCATTCCCTTCTACTGTGCCATCTATCTCGTATTTATATGGATGGCTATATAAATATATGTATATGTGGATGGCACAGCAGATATATATATATTTACATATATGTGTAATCTTGACCAATCCTGGTTATTTTTGCCCCTTTCTCTTTGGACCATGACAAGTCCCTAAGAAGTGACCTCTAGAGCTGGGTAACTTTAAGTGAAGAGACCTTTACGTGAAGTAATTTGCATGTAATGTAATATCGGAAAGTATTTTTTAGGTATGTTACAGGCTTACTTTAAACCATTTGACTTATGCTCCAAAGTAACTGTAATTTAATGTTGGTAGTACAGCAAATTATGATGACTAGCTTTACTCGTATGTTTAAAAGTCTCATCAGATGTTCACATGTTCAAATATGGATATCAGAATTTAAGCAATTCTTCAA